GTATATATATATATATATATATATATATATATATATATAGAGAGAGAGAGAGAGAGAGAGAGAAAGAGAGTAATAGTTGTATTATGAAATGCGTTTAGTGGTTTAGTAGGTACATGTGCATGGGTGAACACAACCTTAAGAAGGAGACAGTTAGGAACTGTTTAAGAATGAAATCTGGTTGAGATCTTTGCAGAAAGATTGCAGCCTTTCCAACATCCTGCATAAGTAACATCCTTTTTTCCCTCATTAATAGGAAAAGCAAAATTTTTCCCTTGATGGCTGAGGGCTTGTAGTTGTGAGTTGTACAGGGATCGCGGAGCACGTGCTTTAGATGAGAGGTTGTCACTTGCCAGAGAGAAGGATAGCAAGGAAGATTACACCTCAGATGTTGTCTAAGGGGTTGACTCTTTTTCTAGAGATCTGTTGATTACACTGACATGTACTTTACATGATAACTTTCACACAGAGAAAGAGGTGCAGAAGGGTCAAGGCACTCTATTTGTATTTGGAAAAACCGGATGCATCTTGATCATTCTTTCATGTCACATGTAAGAAAAAAAATTTATTTTCCTTCTCTGTGTAATCTTAAATTTTTAGGTGATTTTTTTTGTCTTTCATGCATTTATTTTTGTAAAGCCTCTTGGTCTCGTTTAGAGGAGCCATACCCGTAAAACGTTAGGACCTGTCTTTAATCTCAAACTAATCTGACCTTCTTTTTTTATTTGGCTTTTGGTAAGGGGTCGTTTAGTGGAACCATACCCGTAAAACCTTTGAACCTGTTTTTAAACTCAAACTAAGCTGACCTCCGTTTTTTATTTGGCTTTTGGTTTTTTGCCTCTCCAAAATTTCATCGTCTTATGGGGTTCCCACTTGTGTTCGGTACATAGTTGCGTGGATCTGGCTTTCCTCTCTTGGAATCTCAATCTGGCAATCCCAGATCTGGAGCTTGACCGCTACCGCCTCTCTCCCATAAGGGAATATTGATTCCTACCTATATTTAGATCTCGGTTCCGAATTTGACTTGTCTCTACCCTTTGTTTCCTCTTTTTCATCTCTCACAAACACTTCTTTTATCTCCCACTTAGCAAACTTGTGCCCATAGAACCAGGGAATCCCAACAATCCTTTTGTAGGTTAATCATCCTTGGTCCATCCAGTTATTTATATGAAAGGAAATCCTACTAGGAACAACCTCTGAAGATTGGCTCTTGAATATCCAAGAATTATTTCCTATACAACAAAGAACATAACAAAAGTGATCATCTACAAATAGACCGTTTATGTCACAATCATTTTTGTCCTTTAAATTTTAAAATAGGTGGTTGTAAGAATGTTATTGAATAGACACAAAGTTTCAAAAGAAAATTTTCGATTTTGTGATTCACTTCAAGCCACATCTAATAAGTGGGAAAGATTGTGACCTCCATGCACGAAAGTTAAAATGGTCTATTTGTAGACATTCCCATTACATCATAACTTTCAAGATTGCCGGTGCCATTAACTGTAACCATTTACAAATAATACAAAATGATCCACATATACACACTGCCACCATCAGCCTCCAAAACTTGAACAAAAGAATGAGGAGCACAAGTAATCAACTTTAACAAAAATTTAAAAACTTTAGCATAGAACTTCTATGTATTCCGGCAATTTATGTGAAGTTAATGAATATAGTAGAAGAAAGAATGGTGTCCCAGTTTTCACGTAAGTAGAGCATACAGTTTATCCATGGAAAGTGCATGATTATCTATAAACAAAATCATTCCTCAATAATAATTAAGAAATATATTAATAATTTAGGGCTAGAAAATATGAAAGAATGTTCTTGTTGAACCCTTCTCGTGCAACAGGTGAAGAAAGAAAAGGGAAAAGAAAATGGGAAAGAAACATATACACCCCTCTCTAAAATTATTATAGCAGATGATCCCTTGGTCTCATGGAATCCCCCCAAGTGAAACAAAAAAAGACGTTTAACCCCTTCAGTTTTTTCATTATCTTGATTATTTTTTTTTAATAACCTCGTCATAAAAATCGAGTTGGTAATGCCTCTCTTAACTTACTTGTGAGGTTCATGAGATGAGCAAGAGAGAGAGAAGTATTCAAGAAACTTGATAGAGAGAAAGGGAGGAAGAGGTCTACAAGTCAAGAAAGAGCTTTACCAGGATTTAAAAAACATGATGATTAAGAAACAAAAGAAGGATAAATTTTATTGTTTGAACGAGAAAAAGGTAAGGAGCGGGTTAAACACCCTATTTTATTTAACTTAAGGGGTTCCATGGGATATTTATGAGACTAAGGTTATTTGGGATTATACTTTTAATGAAGGGGGTTTATGTCTTCTTCCCAAAAAAATGTGTATTGATGATGAAATAATAAGAAACTACTAACTAATATCTCAATTCAAACTTGGCAATGTTCCTTCGATAAAGCTTTTAGCATGCATCTAATGGGGCTCAGTGTGCTCATAAGTACTGTAAACATTATTAAAGGTCTCCGGGGAAGGAGGAAGTGAAGAACTATGTAGTTGACAATGATCTTCCTAATAAATATTACATATAACATACATTGATTTTTCCCTTTCTTAATAGGTTAAAACTTAAAAAGTACAAAGAATGCAACCAGGCCCAAAATGACTTCGGGCCAAAACAATCAAAACCAGTCTCGAAAGATCAATGCCTTCATAATCCTTTAATTTTAATTACGGAATGAGAATGTAAAAAACAAATGGACGGAAATCATCTTCCTCTCCTAAGGATGACGTCCTTCCATCCCTCTCTCTTTTCAGATTTTGATTTGGGATTATCTTCTCTCTCCCCTTTCTCTCTTCTTCCCCCATTAATGTTTCTACCTAAGGAACTCGACATGACCACTGCTGTCCTTGCATAAAAATCGGGCCTCAGCAGCCAAAACACGGCTTTGGGCAATCACATTGTCAGTGCACGTACGCTTAGCCGAGGCATATATCGATGCACCGCTGCCTCATCCTCAGAGACCACTAATACCTCTGTAGCTCGCCCCAAGTTTTCCCAACAAAACTCTCTCAAAATCCTATGAGTCAAATCCCAATACTCCCCATCTCACCACCCTAAACATTAGGGATCCAACCATAGAGGTCCACCTAATCTCTCTCTAAAATCTCCATCAAACCCTCAAATCCCTTAAGGGCAGGGTAGACCCAACTCGGGCCTTCCCTTGTTAAAGTGCCACTTCACCTCGAGTATTCCTCCTAGTTTTGTAAGTAGAGGGAGAGAGAGAACTTATCGAAAGTAATTCATTAAGATGGAGAGGATCGGTAGGAGGAAGAGAGAGACAGATTTGGAGATCGAGAGAGAAGAGAGGTAGTTCTAGATTTCGTTGGGTATAGAGAGAGCCATAGATTATCTAATCATTTTGAAGTTGAAAAAATGCGCATGAGCCGAAAGGGGTTTTTTTTGTTCTCTAAACTACTTAATATTAAGAAAAATACATATCATCGAAGAGAGAAGAATACATATTAGTATCCAGCCTTCCCCCTCTAAATTGATGTCCTCTTCTGCATTTGTGGTTAACCGCTACCTCCTCCTCCTCTGGGACAAATTGTCAAGTTTGGTAGGGTTATACCAATAGGTACAAGGGTTGGCTGAAGCTGAGGAGTTGGTTGCGGGGTGAAAAAGTAGCTGGAGGAAGGAAAGGATGTAGAATTTGGCACTAAGCATTTTAATACCATTCTCGGCATTTAGTGCCATTCTCGTTAAGGGCATTGGTGCCAAGCTATTTAATGGATATCTGAGCTACCTGGATTTGGAAGGGATAGCAGTTGAAGGAAGGAGGAGACGAGGAGAAAGACACAAAAGAGTATAAGCTCAGAAAAGACGGAGACGTTAAGGGCCCAAGATTGGGGGATGGTGGGATTGGATAGTTTGAAAAATGTATGTAATTCAGACAAACAGTAACATAAGGATTAGAGAGGAGGGTTCCAAGAAGAGGGGCTGGATTCGAGAGATCACTAGGAAAATTGGGTGTGGTGTGCGACGATATTTTCCTTGGAGATGAGGGTTCCAAGAAGAGGGGCTGGATTCGGTAGATCACTAAGAAAATTGGGTGTGTGTGACGATGTTGTCTATTATCTTGTGCTCGATGTTGTAGATTTCCATGTATATATTGGGTCCATCTCCCACCATTCTATAGGGGCCTTAAACATGCTCCTCCTATTAAAAGAGTGTAACAATCCAATTAAGGCGCACTTTCAAATTTTATCATTTTAGTGTAAAAAATTCTTACTAAAAAATCTATTTTGATGTTTAATTATAAAATTTTAAACTCCAAAAATAATTAAAATCCAGTAGTTCTATAAGCATATGAAATAAGCCAGGAGATAGGAGAATCAAACTTAAAACCCATCTCACATGGGCTTCAGACGATGACCCGAAATTTGGGGAACATTAACTTTGACTGACCCTGGCCCCCTACATTTTAAAGTCTACAAAAAAAGGAAAAATAAAACTAAAAGCACAAATAAATACAACTTGGAAACTAATAATAACCAGGAAGTGTTCTTCAAGCTGTTGAATTCGTTTGACAACTGATCACTGCATGTGATGGTCCAAGCCGAAGTAGCAATGAGGGGACGAAGCCAACATGAGGCACCCATCACCACCTGAGAAAAGAGCAAGCAGCATGCTAGCCTGTCTGACTCTAAACGCGTTCGAGCCTAGGTGCACGGGCACGAACCCGGCTGCCCATCCGAGCCGTCCACTGGGTCAAGGGCTCGTGCCTCTCGACCCTATCCGCACCCTCGCACGCCACGATATCGAATATCTGCCTCCCCAGATAAACCTCGCTCATGACCTGGTCTCGACTGCCAGGAGGCAAGCCGCACCTCTCCAAGGAGTCGAACAGAGAGGAGTAATAGTGAAGCGCCTCAGCGAACCGGTCCACAAAGACCAGCCTGTTATGGTTCGCGTCTTGCTCGACGATTGTCACGATTTGGGGCTGCAGGGCTCGGACCCTGGCGAGCACCTTGTCGAGGGCGCCGGTTTGAGCTAGCAGCTTGTGCAGCTCGAATATGGAATTTACGGCCACCACCTCGCTTGGCGTTACGTCGAGCATATTGGCTTCGAGGTCGGCGAGGCTTCGGGCCACGAAGCCTCGGGATTCAAATTCAAGACGAAGTGTATCAGCTAGTTGGCCCAATTTCCAGCTCACTTGTTGCAGATGGTCGGTGTTATCGGGCTGAGGAGGCCCGATACCGGTGAGCCTGAAAGCCGGTGGTCCTCCAGGCCTTAAGGCCAGAGCCTGCATAAGAGCCGGCCATTGCATCCCCTGTTTCATACTGAAATCGATAACATGCACTCTCTTCTTCCCTGCAAAGGCCTAATGGCCTGGTTTGCCGTGAAATGGGCGATTTTCAAATGAGGGCAGGTCATATAGAAGTGCATCTGCAAAATATTGGAGAACGAGTCGCCGCCAGTGTCTTGCGGGTGAAATCGAAAGATCCTTCGGGCCAGGGCCTCAGCAAAGAAGGTGGCGACCTTGCGCAATGCCCCCGTTTGTGACACCGCCAGCATCCTGATCTGCTTCACGAGGGCCT